AGGACTTTTAGCACTTGACTGTTATCAATCTACCAATTAGAATTAATTCTCCTTAAATACAATGTCCTTTAATATCGATCGCTGGCTGTGTCACTAAGTTCTGGAGTTCAGTAAATACACACATTAGCAAATAAATGTTTTTCCTTCGCCAGAAAATTTCCGGGCAGATGGAGTAGGCTCTTTGGATAAATGTAATTAAATGTGTTTACTCGGCAAAAGCCGAGAGAGGCAGCCACTAATTAAACAGAAAATAATATTCAAATGGGCCCATGTCTGGCCCTGGCTTACACATGTTGCCCATCGATCTGTCGCCTTGTGTTGCTCCCCGGCCGCCTTTTACCCCTTTCGCTTCTATTGAATCATTTGAATACGAAATAAAATGTTAGTTGCTGGCAAAAGTTGTGGCAATTAATTTGACGCCTCTGGAAAAAATGTGTCCACACACATGTGCTGTGTTGCAAAAGAGCCACAAAATCCATTTTAATTGCAAAAACAGTGCGTGTGGCATGAGAAGTGAAAAGGGATCAAGTCACAGTTGCCGCCTGGCCTGCTCTATATATATACATAGATACTATACTGTACTCTGTGGATACTATACTCACTCGAATGTTTGTGTATCTATGAACTTGCCTCCGCAAAACACGCGAGCTGCTGCGGTCTAGTTGCTGCCCTCTCCTTTAGTTCGGCCGCACAAAAACTTGGCAACTTTGCACATTTGCCCCAACTCTTTGCAAACTAACACTGCATATTTGTCCAAAGTAATGAGACTTTTCACAGCTCTTTTTTTCATGTCCGCTGGCGTTTTCGTAGTATTTTTTTGTGTAGCACAGCGTGAAGCCGAAGTTGTCTCCTAGACAGCCTCGCAATGCATTATGGGAATTTTGTGGCATTTTCATTAACAACTCCCCTCCTCCTCCTTTCATATGAGCCTGGCTCTCTGTGTGTCTTAGTTTAAATTTGTTTGCGATTAACACGCGAGCGTAAAAAATACTGACAAGCTCTACAGTTTTTTCGTGATTCATATTGGGTGAGGCAGACTGCGATTAGGTAAGATCAAAAGGATTAGCAATACCATTTAAAAAAGTGTATTTTATAGAGTTAAATGTTGATTAGAAATTTGATTATAAACGTTTTCAGCTATGCCACTTTGGAATCTGATTAAAATGAATAGAAATTCAAGCAAATGCAAGCAGGAATTTTTATTACTTCAGTTTTTATAGATTTAATTTCAGCTGAAGGAGCCTTAAATTCCTGGCCAACAGCTGCTGACGTTGGCGAATTTATTGGAGCCCCTATCAAACCCCGCCCCTCCCTCGGCCGCCCCCTTTTGGCCAACACCTCTTTGTGGGGCCCGCCTGACCGCTCGCAATTAATTAGCGGCAATGAGCTGTTGCCTCTGCCTCCCGAGTTTCGGTTTCAGTTCCAAATACTAGACTTTAGTTTATGGCAACTAATGTGCGTCGTTGTTTGTGTTGTTTGCGCTGTTATTGCTCTCTTTATGCTGCTGCAACATCCACATTATTTGTACGTTTCTTGTGCTTTTGCTGCTTGGCTGGCCAATGTCTGGCTAATTTTCTATTTATTTGACCGCAAACTCAGATGGAGCACCATCACATTGCCATGGCGCACACATGGATAAGGCGCACTCCGGCTAATTTATGGGTTTCTTGCACTCTGAACGGGCCCGGGAAAGGCATTAAAGCCTTTATTCCCTCCCCTGCTGGCTGTAGAATGGGATCTGCTTGGACTTAAAGTTTGAGTTCGTGCCGAAAGGAGACCACCGCACCCAGAATTCTGGCCTGTTGCTCCTCGGGAGATGGAGATCCGCAGAAACTAGTTTACTTTCAGCGACTGTCTTTTGCCAATCAACTTGATTTGACTCGAAAGAGCAATCACAGTTGGCAACATTATGTGAAATAGTCATGTATTTTATAAATGTTCTGAAATGTATTCTGTTTATTGGTATTACAAAAGGGGATACTATTTAATATCTCGTTGGGATAAACCCTTTGAATAATTTGCTGTGCATTCAGATTTGCCTCTTGAATTGCTGTAAGCTGTTGGCACACGCCCTCCCCCAACATTTGCTACTGGGCTTAAAGTTCAGACCAGGTTCAGTTCGAGTCGAGTTCATGCGTGGCTTGTCAGCCCCTCCTCCCCTCGCCCCTTGCCACTGAACCATTTGGCCTTTGCGGCGGATTCCGATTCGGAATGGCTGTAAAATGACTTTTTGCCATGATTTATGTTTCCACGTTGCGCTTCAAGTGCAGCAGTTTTTATTTTATAATAAGAGGTAGTGGGGGAGCAAGTGGGTGTAATGAATTGTAAACTTATTTTGTAACCAAAGGAACTACAATAGCATTTTAAGAATTTAAAATATAATATTTTTAGTAATTTATAACAAAAGCTTTTATTTATTTTGTGTAATAATCACCCGTGAAGAGTATTTTGTGTTCGATCAAATTAGTTTTGTAAAGCGATCAACTTTAGATGTGGGTCGGTCTGGCCTGGCATTTGTGTTGCTGGACTGCTGCTTTAATTAGCTCACCATTGTTTATGCTTATTTCGATTTGTTTCATTTTTTCTCCATTACTTTTCACCCCCTTTTTGTATTTTGTATTTTATTAATTAATTTGCCCGCTTCGTACTTGGAACAAAGGCTGGCAGGCAGGCAGCGGCGAATGTGTGGCAAGAAATGAGCTCGTATATCTGTCCGTCTCTTTGTGCAAGACACAAGACACAACCCACATGATTAACATTTGCTATTTCCACGGATTAAATCAGAGCCTCTTGGCTAAATTTGCGCAATTACCCGAAGCTAAAAGTTTGTTTCCATTTTCCACTGCAATTTGAGATCGTTTGCAAAGATCGAACAGATGCGATAGTCATTTTGGCGGGGGGCTAAGCTAAACTGGTTGCCGTTTTAAGGCACAAACTACAACAATTAATAACAGCAACAACGTCGCAGCCACTTTTCATGGTTTCGCTTTACACAGCAACTGGAAAATGTTTTAAATATTTAGCATCCATTAATCAATTTGCACTCGCCGCTGATCTTGCGTTGCGATGCGGTCAGTTTTTCGCTTTGTATTTTTATTTCGGCCCGAGCTCAGATTGCAGTACAGTGGAGAGTGGGTATGAAGGATTAAAAAGGATTAGATAAATTTATTGTCTATTTCGGTTCAGTGAACCAAAAATACTTGCAGCCGTTATCCTCAAAATAGATTGGTTGCACTACATATTTAAATTATTTTTATTTTGTTAAAATTTATGTTTTTACTGAAGGCCTACTGTTTTTGGTTTCTATTACCGACGAGATTGCATTTTATCGTATTTGTATTTTGTAATTTGGTTAAGTCCACTACATGGAAATGCTTTTCCTTCTCCAGCAAACAAGCGAAAAGGAAATACGTTAAGTATTGCAAATAAATTTTTAGGGTGCGTTATTTTAAAGGTCGAGCATGGAGAAATTTTCATCGACCAGACTATTAAAAAAAGAAAAGCCCAAAAATTGGATAAATTGGCAGCAGACAAATGAAAGCAAAATATATTTTCTCATTTAATTTGATTTGGTTGTTCGCTGGGGGATGGAAACTCATTTCGATTTTGATTCGACGCTTGCGGTGGCAACTTTGCCATTTGCAGTGTGTTTTCCATGACCACTCTCTCGTTTTGCATTGATTTATCTCGTCTTTGTCTGGGTTTTGGCCTACTGCAGTTTTTCCAATTTTTATTTCGCTTAGGGAAAAGTTCAATCAAATCGAGGGGCGTGGCCGAGGGAGCCAGACTTAATCAATAACCAGAAGCAGCAGCAGCAGCAGCGCCAAACAAAGAAATATACATTTATTTATTTTTATATTTAAAATTGAATCGCAGGTGAGTTGCTGTGGCCCACAGCCAGTTGTTTATGGGAAAAACGTGAGAAGCGGCAATTGCACGAAAACTGTGTACGTCGCGCTCGTCTATTTACTTTTGCCATTATTATTATGATTTTTGCATTTGTTGCGCATTTTGGGCAGTGTCTAATTTATTGAGAGGTGTGGCCCCAAAAGCAGAAAGACCAGCGATCGCAGTCAAATTATCGAGTGTACAAATCTCTACGACAATTTGAGGCGCTTGAAGAACCGTACGGACTACGGACAGGTACTGAGAAATAAATAAAAAACACTCGAAGTTGGCGGCACCCAGAATTTGGTAATTTATCGATTAATTGCAGTCGCAGCTTTGACATTTGATAGGAGGCCAAATCCATCGGAAGAAGAAACTGACCCAAAGAAGCTCTGCTCTGCTCGTCATTCAAATGGAGATTATTATACGGCCAAAACGAAAATGAGATCAGTCCAGATGGAAGCAGAGCAAAGTTTGACCGAAGAAGCAGCGACAAACATGAAAATCATTAAAATCGCTTGAGGCAGCTGCTTGGAGACACGTCTAAATTTAGCAGGCCTCGAGATATAAATTTCATAGAGCGACAGTGGGGAACGAATAGTTAAGGCCATAAAAGGTGAAATAGTAATAGTAATAGTTAGACTGTCGGAAATTAAGCGGTTCCCAATAATCGATTAGTTTTCGAGTGGTACTTCAGCACTTTCGGTTTTTAAATTATCCAACCGCCAAATTAATGATTATGTCCACCGCACGCTCTCCACATTCGTTGACTTACATTTTCGCCACGCACTGTCAGTGGCCCGCGCAGTATTTGCATAAATTAAACTAATTGGGCGCCAAAGCAAAGTCACCGCAAATGAATTTACATAAACCGATGGATAGTGGACGGATCGAGAGGGGCTCGCAGGGGAAGGGGGAGGGGGAAGGGGCTGGAGGGGATGGGGGATCCACAATCGAAGCTGAAGTGGAGCTCAGCGGCTGTGGCTTTTGTGTGGGGCAATCCCAGAAACAGAGAAGACTGAGGGACCCACAGAAATTGAAACATTTCACATTTTTAATTTGTACGTGATAGGGCAAATAGTTTTGCCACTTGACGACGACGACGACTACGTTCTCCCCCGCTCTTGTTGTGGCACGGAAAATTATGCAGCACACAAATCAGCTCCAGTTTTCCTCTGGTTTTCCGAGTGTTCCGTTCCCCCCATTTGACTTGCATTGCATGCTAACGTGGCAGGGCAGACAAATCGACTCTTTTCTGTCTGGCAGCACTTAGCACGTGATTGAAAATTGCCCGGGAATGAAGTGATTGGTTCCTCCGAGAAGGAAAACCAATGCAATAGTGTATAGTTTCCCCTCCGATTCTGATTGCCTGCAATTCATTTGCTTCCTCCTGCGCAGCGAATACAAAAATATTTCTCTGGGCAAACAATTTGCGGAACTTTGCTCTTTTCGTTTTCGTTTTCTTCTTTGTCTTTGGCATTAAAGGCAAATTTACAAATTAGTGTGAAATTAAGGCCAAAACGAAAAGTACACAGGGCTAAGCAAACACGAAGGCAGAGAATAAGCACCCGAGATCCAGAATTAACGATACCCCTTGGCCTCACTCGTCGAACTCGGGATTGTGTTCCCATTGAAGGCGTCGCCAATAGGAGAATGCCACCAGCCAGAAATAGATGCTTAAAGCTGTCGAAGAATTTACTAAATACTGGGTTGAATTTCACAAAAAATACATTTCGAAAATAGGAAATATTGCGTGGTTCTCTGCAATATTTTCTACTGCGGAAAAGTGTTTTTTTTTTAGCTATGCTTACTCAGGGTGAAGAAGGCGGGGACGGTTTCCAGGGCGCAGAAGCTGCTATATGTGGCATACTCGATAAGAAAGACGGTACAAAATATCAGATGCACTACATTGGTCACCATATAGATGACGACCAGCGCTTCGATCTGCTGCAAGAGATGGTACGGGATCAGAAAATGGTGCTTCGGAGGTGACCACATACCACGAAGATGCTTGTCATCAGGAAAACCGAGCCGATGAAGTGCAGCATGTAGGCAGTCCGGCCCAACAGCAGTATTCGACTATCTGCGAGAAGGGGTTTTTCGAGCTATAGTTATCCAAAATCAAGACGCTAAAGAACAGAGCTTACCTCTGCTTACCTTCGGCGACAAAGAAGCCCAATGCCGATGCGAATATCTCGAACATGGCCAGAAAAAAGCAGCCGGCCCGCAGATCCAAGCAGCAGCAGCACGACTTCAGCCTGGGTTCCCGACATTTCATCTCTCATTTGAAAGCAGGCCGAAGGCCTAGCCCGATCTATCCGATCGCCAAACAGGGTATGAGTTTGAGTATTTCCTAAACCTAAACCGAAGAGTCACACGAAGGGGAAACCCTGGCTGAACAATATTTGGCTACAAAATAGCTTATATGGCAACTCAGTTTCGCTTGTTTAATTTTTCGGCCATTCAAGGTCAGAGTCAGCTGCTCGGAACATGTGATAATGTTTGGTATTCTAATTCGAAACGCCTTTGTCTTGGCTGCTCAACTCATTTGGCTCATTCAATTTGACAGGCGACGGAAGCGACGCCGCCTATAAATTACAGCACATTCATGGCTGGGTTTGGGTTTCTGATTCGGCCATTTGGATCTCACTGTGACTGTGACTGTGGCTGCACTTCAGTTTGAACTCCATTGAAGTCCAAGCCAACAAAAGTCCAGACAGGAACAAGGGGCCGGCCCCAAAATTCAATACCCATTGATTGTTCCAATGACAGCTTTATAGAACTGACCATAAGCTATATAGCTGAAGATGACGGGAGGCGGATCTGATTCACGGATGGTGAAATGGCCATCCGGCCAAATGCTTTATTCGAAAATCAAAAACCAAATGAATATATTTTTGGAAAAGTTGGCTAAGCTTATTGCAGTAATAAATACACTTTTTGTTTTCTATTGAGTACTGGTAATAAATAGTAAGAACTTTGCCAATTAAATAACGATTGCATTCTCGTGGCCAATGTGTGATAATAATTCATAATTCGCTGACCAAAATAAATCCGATAAATTCATAGCCCTGCCAAATACGTTGCCCGATTTTGTTCTGGCACTTGGAGCACCCCTATAAAGAAAGGGAGCACTCGTAAAATTAAGATCGCTTTCGATGGGGGCCTTTGCAATCTACAGAAAGAGAAAGAGCGCACGTGTTCGGGCCAAAAATGAACAATAATAGGCGGTGGGAAGGCCAACGCATTTGGGCCATTAAAATTCATTAGCCGTGCACATCTCGATCTGGAGTGCGAGATCCGATCAATAAAATAAGCAAACAATAAAGACCGGGTCGAGCACATTCGATATGAACGATCCGAGCAATCCAAACGATCCGAACTGACCGGCCGGCCAGCTGCTGTTTTCGATTCGAATTAAAATTCATATTGCCCAAATTAGCAGAATATCTCGAGGGGAAAAAGGGGGCGGGGCGGGGCGGGGTGTTCTTGTGGGTGAAGGAATGTACGCTTGGCTTAATTAACCTTTCAAAATTGAATTTCCTCACCGCCTGTAATTGTTTCAAAAATAAATTACAAATTTGCACCGCTTTGCTGATTAGCAAAAGTCGATGACTAACTTTCGGGTGACGCGACACTCGGTCTGCTTTGTTTATGTTATATAATCGAAGCCAAGGTGTAAATAAACAACGATTAAGGCATTTCTAATGGCAGTAAAAAAATACGTTTAGCTTTCGAGTCCAACAACCAGATAACGAATTTTTTGCTGTCTTTTTTTCGCTTTTATTCCCTCCAGATAAGTTGAAATTCCACATGAGCCATAATGGAGGCCCCCTCCCGAGTTGATAAAAGCGAGTGAGAGAGAGCGCTGTATAAATAAATTAAAATTAAAACAAATGCAAATAAAACCAGGGGAGCAAAAAGAAACCCAAATCTATTCAATGTCAAGGTCAACAAATGAATTCGTCTGTTTTGTCTCATGTCGTTTCTTCTCTTGCCGTTTTTTGCCCACTTTCTGTTTGTTTTCGGTTTGTTGTTATTTTTATTTTTTTCCGTTTTGTATTGGGCATTGTTGATAACTTTATTTGCTTTGGCCGTAGGCAATATAAAAAGCAGAAAGGAAAATGTGGGATAAGCCGCCAGCAGCACCCCCAAAGCAACTCATTTTTATTTGTTTTAATTTTATAATGTCATTCTTAAGATTTTATGGCCTAAAGCCACATTTGCCTTCATTCTATTTCGTCCACTTCTGACGTCAGAAAATGCGAATACAACAGAGCGAAAAATAAAAAGTCACGTAGTATTCGATTAGTCAGACTAACGCAAAGTTACGTGGCTTACAGCCAATCCAATAGAGATTTCAGTGAGGGAAGTCCTTATCGCAATTCTATCCGGCTTGAATTCGAGAATAGAGGAATTTCCGCTCTGCTGTCATATTTGCAATTTTCCAGCTGTCGTGGAATTTACATTTTCATTTAGAGGAATTTGTGCAGTCACATTTATCTATCTTTTTCTGATTTATGCATATCTCTCCCTACTCTTTTCAGCTCCACATCTGGTTGCAATGGGATCTTTTCGCGTCGCCTGGACTTCTCGTCGTTCAATTTGCTGCCGAAGACTCGTTTGAATTCTTATCAAGTCAAGGTGAGTTATGTCCATCCATATATTCAGACATATCCTAGGGTATTTACTCACACATCCATTCACTATTTCGATGGCTGCTCATTGAGAAACCGCAAAGTTGGCTTGACTCCGCTTTCTTGGAAGGAAAGGCAAACAAATATCTGCCTGACTTGGCAAACTTGCAATTGGATACGCCTCGGTTTATATGCACGGGGGTCTTCGGGGTTTATTTTTGTTGGATTAGATAATTTCCAGCTGGTTTGCGGAGGCTGCCAAGCTGAGTTAGAATTCTTGGGAAGCGTGGAGCTTCAAATGCAGCGTAGAGAAATACAAATATTCATTGTCTAAGCTGTTTTCCCAGTCACATGAGTAGCAGGGGCAAAAAGATAAAGAGTTTAGTACAGAGTGAAGAAATAATTGGAAGTGTCTTTAATATCAGAACCTAATTAACCACTTGAGGTACTTTTTTTTTATTCAATTAAAACTGAATTACATTTTCTACGGTGCAACTCAGTGTCGATTGTGAATGAGTGCATATTGGAAGCCAATCAAGAGGAAAAAGTCTTTGGGCCGGCTGCTTATCTTTCAATCAGCCTATTCTTTTCCCCCGCAGTCCCCTATAATTCCCTGCGATATAGCCTTCTATATACCCCGATCCCCCCAGAGTTGTTTCGGATTTCTGTTTACACTTGGTGTAATGCCCAGCCAAGCAATTTCATGGGTGTGGGAGTAAGAGAGATGGCTGGCTCAAGTGTAAGTTGATTTCAATTCTACGGTACACTGTCCAAAAAATGGGGTTTTTAGTTCAGCAACAAACTAGAAGAGGCATCCAAATTATTATTTGTTATTATATGTTATTATAATAAATTTTTAAAATATTTTTTGATGAGTTTTTAGTGTTTCTTATACATTAAATGTAATGTTAATTTTTAGCGGTGCACTGCAAGTCATCGTATTTTGAGATTGAGGCCTGCTTAAGCCCTTCAAAGTGCACATTGTTATGGATTATGCTCGGCTGAATCGCATTGTTGATTGATATGATTGGGCCTGCGGTTGAGGCGAGCGGTGAGCACGGGTATTGAACCGAGTAAACCCGATGTGATTCTGGTCTGGGGATTGTTTCGAGTGGCAATTAGCGAGCCTCCAAGGCGAACTTCTCCGTTTGCGGTTGCCGAGCCGAGACCATCCTGGTCAGAACTCATGAAATCATAACACACATGTGCATTCGGGGGATGCGCACAGGTCCTTGGAGAGCGCCTTGAATATTTCATAAGGAGCAGAGTTTGCGGCGGGGGGAGGGGGAACTCCTCGCAGGACAATCGAGGCGAAGCCTGGGCTGCACCTCACCTGTCTGTCTCGCTTTTCAGCCACCCGAGAGAGCTTTGAATATGTTTTGCGTAGCCAAAATTGTATCTGGCGAATGTATCTGTATCTGCAGCTGGTCTCGGAATTTCCCTTTTGGCCAACTTATGCGGTGTCTGCACGCAGCAGAAAGAGAAGGCATTGTCTGGCAGCGAATTGCTTTTAAAAACTTTACAATTCAATCTCTTGCTGTTGTTGCTGCTGCTGCTGCTCCTTTTTGGCATGCATTCCGAATTGCATTTCGAATTGAATTTATAAATATTTAATGCCGTTCAAAATGCCATGCAACCCAGGCGAAATTTTTGTATAAACCGTCTAGGATTTGTCGGTTAGAAGTTTTTAGCCGGGCTTAAAGAGCTGGAACGAAAACAGAAGAGGCAGGCAGCAGAGGCAGGTTCAAGTTTGAAGGATAAAGTTTTCCCTGTTTGCCCGAAGGATCTTTAGGTAATCCCCAAGCCAAACAAAACGGATCAAACCATGCAAACCGGTTCTCGCTCGTCATAATTAAGACAAGTCAACTTGTTAATCATCCAGCAATTTGCTGTGCCACTCAATGATTCCCGAAAGGGTTGTTGCCGCCTCGCTGATTTTTTAATCAGCATATCATAGACTTTGGGGGGTTAACCGTTAACCCTACTCCTCCCAATCAAATCAGCTGTCGACATTTTGGCTGCCAGGGGATTTGCGTCAGAAAAAGCGTAAAAAGCAAGGCAGCTATAATTATAATTAACACAGCTCCGGGGATTGAACTTCAATTCGTGCTCTGCACATCTGCTAATTGTTTCAGCTCTTCCTTAATCCTTTACTCTTTATTTATTTTTTTTTTTTGAGGGGCGTGGTTGATGATTCAGTCGCGGTCTGCTCTGCTTTCTGCGCGTTTTTAATATGCCAATCAATCCTTGTCTCTGGCGAACTTAAAGCAAGAAAATAAGTTTTTATATTCATGATTGATGAGCGCGCTGCCATGAGTGTCTGCTTCGCTCGGAAATCGCAATCGCAGTCTGAAATTTCGAATTTGAATAGAAATAAATAAGTGTTCGCTGGCTGTTTGCGATCATTTTTTCTCGCCCTCTTATTTCAAACTGACACCATACATCAGGGCATTTCCTTTTGCTTCTCGTTGGCGGAAATTTGCGAGCTGCTGGGAAGCTCAAAACTTGAAAAAGAACGACAGGCACTCATGAGTCTGTGGTTCGCTTTGTATTGATACCCTTGAAAAGGAAATTGTAGGAGTCATAGGATGTCCAAAGGAGTTGACAATTTCAGAAGTATAGAACCAAACTAGACTTGTGACAAGCGTCGTCTGAAGTAAATCAAAACTATTATTTTTTTTAAGTAGAAATTGATAAAAGAGTATTTAGCATTGCTCCTAGTTCTTTTTTTTTTTTGGGCACTCTGGAGTGGCGACACTTCCCCAGATTGATGGCTGCACATTCCCTCCGTCAAGAGTTTTTCGTTTTCAGTTCTTTCGCCAGTGTCAGCGAATTTCGAGCCGGATTCCAGGCGAATGGCAAGAGACAAAAATTCAGTTGATGGGCGCCACTGGACAGGCCCGAAATTTATGCAGTCTACCATAAAAACGCGCTCTCAAAGGAGTGCAAAAAATTTGGCATATGCTAGGGTCGCTGCAATGTGCAAATTCCGCTCCGAATTAAATTTTATTAAAGCCAGTAAATTTATGCAAGCGTTCTCCATCTCAGACATGTCTACGCCCACTCAGGTGCGAGTGGAATTGCTTCGGGCCATGTTTGCCAAAGTTGTTGCCATTGTTATTGTTGCTTATTGTTATTGTTGTTGTCGTTGTGTGCGCGGATGTTGCTGATGGAGTTTGGCTGGCAGTCTGCTCTTCTTGAGGAGTGATGTGCGTCGCTTGACTGCCTTAAACATGACATTTATTGTAACTGTCTTTCGGGGATCCCCCGCCATTTTGCAGCTAGACTTTCCCCGCTTTTCCGCCCCCAGCTGCTTTGTCACACGTTGATGTTGCTGCTGCACGGAGAGGAAAATGGCAAACTGAAGATATAATTTACACAATATTAAAATATTCATTTAAATGGTGGTATATGAGAATTGCATTTCGAAATAATCTTTATTCGGTATATAAAGTATAGAATGGATTTAGAATGCAAGCCCCTCTTTTTCCAGTGCAATTCCTGATGTTGCTGTTGTCATTTAAGCATTTGATATGCATTGTGGTGTGTGTCTGTCTGCGTCCGATTCTCTGCGCTGTGTGTACTTATGGATCTGGCCCTGTGTGTGTCGGAGTTTGCCAGACGGCGCCAAACGTCGACAGTCATTGTCATGGCAACATGTTGCAGACAGCGCTGCAGTTGTTGTTGTTGCTGCTGTTTGCATTCGCCGCTGCTGCTGCTGCTGCTGCTGCAAGCGGGCAGACAAACATTGAGTACTCCACTTCATTTATCCCCCTCCCATGAGCACCACCCCCATTTGGCCCCTTGCTTATCGTCCATTTATTTCAATTTCTGCACTTTTGCGTGGTGCAAATTGCACAAAATTTGCTCAAGTGCCTCCGAAGTGCACAATGAAAATGAATAATTATGTTTGGCTGCGTTGTACGACTTTTCCGCCGTCGTTTCTTATCCGCTTGTCGGTTGGTATGCTTAATTAAATGCCTTCGAGGCAGTGACAAAAACATATTTCTAATAAGCAAGCGGCGGCACAGTTGTGGTCGACTGAATAGTGGCTTGCAGCGGCTGTTTTTGAGCTATTAGAAAGTATAATCTTAATATATCTAGCGAACATAGTTTTTTACCACATCAAACGATATGTGTTTCTATAATTTTGACCGCACTTGTTCCTATTTATCTCTGAACACATAGTTCATTGCCCCAACGGCTTATGGTCCTTTTTCGGTAGTCAGTTTTGAATGGCATTTTGCGGGGAAAATTTAATTTCAATTTTCCTCATCAACTTATTGCGGCTCTCTGGCCCCCCAATTCTGCCCACTTCGCTTGGCTTCTGTGTGTAGGTGATTTTGGCATTTCCCGTCGTTAAGTTTGCCGCCTGGCTGAGACAGGCGCAGGATAATGGCGGCGCCGTCCTTGTCCCTCCTGCGAGGAGGAGACGCAAGGACCAATGGACAGACGGAGACGACGACATGTACTGACAGACATTGAGAATGATTGAAAGAGAGGGTCGTAGAAGACAGGGGACAGAAGACGGCAGGGGATTCTGCTTCTTTTCTGAAGACCCAGCGACCGACATTGAAATGTTGTTGAACTTGCCTCGGTTTTCTGCCTCCATAAACAGAGACGCCAAATGTCAACCCAGGTGGATTATGGGCACGAAAGGTGGGGCAGAGCAGCTCAACGGAGACATCAAGGCTCTCGGTCTGTCCCGTCCGTCATCTCGTATTCAATATTTACTTTATCACATCGATTAGCTCTTTGCGAATGCTAAGAATACAGTGGAAATTACTCTTTCCACTTTGCATTAAAATGTAATCGAATATCTGAGCTACGTCTTAAATTTAATCTCAACAAGTTATTGAGGAAGCATGCTCAATTTAATTTTTATCTTAATTTTGTGTACAAATTTTTAATCATTTTGAACCTGACTCACTCCACAGTGAACTCTCGCTGGTCGCGCTAATTACAACCGCAAATGCTGAAAAGGCGCGCATTAAACAAATTTAAAAT